CCCAGATCCACCTTTCACCTCTCATATCTTGGATTACGTCACGATCTACCTACGCATCTGCATAATACCGGCTCGCGCACCTGCGTGAGATAAGTTTCGGGCCAGGGATCTTCTTTGTTCCTGTTGTTGTTACGCTACAGGCGTGTTTACGTCTCGTGTCGCTGAAAGATTAAATCGCCACGATCCTCACGTGATCCACTTGCAGCCTTTTCGATATTCAAATCCGTCCAGTGATTCAAAGAAGCAAGCAGACGTGTCACGCGTCAAGTATGATTCAGACGTGTATCCCGTATTAACGGGCGATTTAAGACGATTTACGCCGATAATCAATACCGAGAGGCAGTATTGGTGTACAGGAACAATTAGTTATTCAATTATCTCTCTCCTTGCGTACCGAGAGCTGATGTTTTCCAAAAAGTCTCTATTAGCAGAATTAGCATCCCACGAGCAATCGACGCTTCCCTACGATTAAAAAACAGGACAGGTGTCTAACCTCTCACAGCTATGTATATATCTAATCATCGGGCGATCGTTCGATTATTGAATTACTGGATAATTAATTTCTCGTCGAAGGACGATAAACTACTTCTTAGATAACTTGGCTATCCGTTCGATCGACCTTCTTCGATCGCCTCGATTATCGTGTATTTTTCACTCATTTTTCTGCCTACCGGTGTTAGCTCGAACGGGGTATATACATGTATATCGAGGGGGGCGACTGATTTTGCTGGCGATACCAGAAACCTGAAATCTATCCAATGGACATTTTTCATTAGTAAATTTTGATCTTGAGATGTATGTGCAAGTGCGTTTAATAAATTGCGCAATTAATTGTGCGCGAACGATCGTGTTTTTAAGGTCAGACTTGGGCGGCTGGTTTATTCTCATGAGGAACGAAAACAAGACTCGTCTTTTGCATAGGATATCATGGCCAATGGCGCTACGTCCATAATAATGAAGATTGTTATTGTCGTTGCCAATGTATTCGGAGATAAGACCAATTACGGCGATACCGTTACACTGAGCGTGTACGTTTCCACTTAATTCCACGTTTACGTATTCCAATTCGCATTGGCTTGAATTCACTGGACGAGGGGCGGCCGGAGGTCGAGAGGTCAAATGTTCCCACAAGCGCTTCCCTGGATAGATAAGACTAAATTGATTAGAGTTATTTTTCGCGAGATTATGTAATACTTTTAAGATCGTTATAAAAAAAAAAAAAAACAAAAAAAAAAAAAAAAAAAAAAAAAAACGAGAGGTCAAATGTTCCCACAAGCGCTTCCCTGGATAGATAAGACTAAATTGATTAGAGTTATTTTTCGCGAGATTATGTAATACTTTTAAGATCGTTAAAAAAAAAAAAAAAAAAAAAAAAAAAAAAAAAACAAAAAAAAAATTATTTTACAAGTTCTCGTCTATCATTGCGATAACCTACACCGGGTAGGAATCTGCCTTTATTTTTTGCTACGTTTATCATCCGCATCACTTGACAGTTACGCCTTCGAGTAAATAGCTCTTAAATAGAAGAGATTGATACAAGTTTTATCGATTCTGGTATTTTTTGGTTCAGCCGTCAAGACGCGTGACGCAAATTTTGTCCAATATTTGCACGAACGACAAGATTCAAATTAAAGGATACAAGGAGCGAATTTCGTGTAAAAAAAAAATTTTTTGAATCATTAACAACGACCGATGTGATTTCGAGATTCCGAGTTCTCGATGGGAGGCAAAATTTTAATAAAAAAATTTTCGAGATCCGCGATTATTTTCGTCCACGTTGTACTGGGGTATCGTAAATCGGCTGATGATTCCAATAAAAGTGAGATAAAAAGCGTAAGGACGAGCTGGCGTTTCAAAAGTGACGTCTGTTGACCGTTCTGGCCGAGCATCGGCGTCTGCAAAATTTTAACGCAGAGCAGAGCGAAACGACGTCGAAAAATAAAAGCGAGGAATCTTCAAGAAAGCCGACGAACGAATTGCGCTGCTGCGTCGCGTCGCGTAAAGTTCAAGGAGGAAGACGGGGGTCGTCGGCGCGACGTTAAATTCTGCTAAATGCAAATGCACGGGCGATACAGCCAACGTGCTTTATTGGACGCGTCAGGAGTCATCTTAATTAAAAGCATTCCCGTGCTAAGATCCTCGTGAGAATAAGCCTTAATTGTGCCACCCGCAATTTCAATAAGGCTCCACTGGGTATAACTTGACTGCAGCAATTGCACGACCATACGAAACTATACTCTGTGCGTCGTAACATTCTCTATAAAAAAAAAAAATAAAAAAAAATAAAAAAAAGCCGATCGGCAAAGATGGCGACGAGTATAGGAAAAAAAAAATTAATTATGCATTTCTAACGAACAGTTGTTAAAGTAGTCCAACAAGTTTATCGAGGGTAGCAGCATAGGCGTAGTCTGTTTCCTGCAAAATATTCGAGGCTATCGATGTTTATGATAAAAAATAAGAAAGAAAAAAAAAGGTCAATGTAAAAAAATGATGACTAATTCTAAACGCTAATACGGGTGTAACCAGTCAGCACGTAGAAGTATTCGGTAATCGGTTTAGCCAAGGTCGCATCGGTGCCACATATTCCTACCAATGCATATAGGTATATTAGCTAATGTAATTACAATATATATATATATATATATATATATATATATATATATATATATATATTCTATCCCACTTTTTGTCCTACTGCCTCGATCGCCTTTTCCCTCGCGTGGATCGCGCATTCATACGGGAGGGTCAATCGGAACCGGAAGTCCGTCATTGATCACTGTTATTATTCTGCCGACCGGATCTTCTCATAAGTTCGGATTTCGGTTCGGCCGTTACACATATATAGATATACCGAGCTCTTTATAACCGGCAGGTAGCATATGGGCGAAATTTTTTAAAATCAATATTACACATTAATTTTCGAAAAAAAAAATCTCTTACCGAAAGCATCCTGGAGGAATGTTGAAAAACGTAGTTGAGAGTCGCGCACGTACCGGCCGTCATATTTCTCAAGAAACGAATGATCGAATTTGAATAAATTAATCGGAACAATATTCTATCACGGTTACGCTCTCCTTATTAGCAATCTACAGAATCGATCCGTTTCTTGACCGTCTTGCAGGAGCACCGACTCAATACTGACAGGTTTCCGCTGATCCGTGTCCAAGCTCACTGGTTTCCGAACGTTCTAACGAGTTCCGCAAAGGTGCGTTGAACGGGCCACTGGTAGGAAATTATTGCGACAGCGGGTTTCACCGGTAAAGTTGTTTTCCGAGATAATAAACAGAAGTGAGGTTTCGAATTAAAAAGAAAAATAC